AACTTTGACATACTGTTTTTGAAAATAATACACAGCTGCTCATTGTGAAACTTGTAATAAATGAAAAGCATTCCAAGTCCTGAATTTTATTAAAAAATATATTTGTCTAAACCATCTTTCAAAATGTGAATTTGACTCAGATCTAAATTCAAGTTCTGGTTCTGCCACTAATATGTTATACGATGCTGGCAAGTCACTTGACTTTGACAAGTTTCTGTTTTTCCATGTCTAAGATGAGGTAGCTAAAACTTAAACATGGATTTAGAATAACAAGGTTCTGTTTCCCATGTGAGCTCTTGGATCTGAGAGAGTGAGTGGAATATGCTAATCATTTATTGAATATTTCTTGCATGAACTTAAGGTGACTTATAGTTACAGTATCCCAAGATTTTTATGATATAAATTTGAAGAATTTCTAAAAAATATGAAATTTTCAAAACACAAATATGCACACACACACACATACACAAACACTTAAAATGAGACGATGTTAAGTACTAGGTGAATTTTACATTACTCCTTTGTTAGAAGAGGAAAAAAAGCTTTAAAATAACTGCTATCCTTAATCTACTGGATTAGTCTAACTTCACTGCAGAATCAAATTTAAGAAAGCATGACTTAGAATTTTCAGAAACTGTTTTCATTGAGATACTTCATTCATACTAATGAAGGAGTAATTTAAGGCAAATAATATATATTTACTTCTTTGGAAGATAAGACACACTTGGATATGTTAATCTTAGACCAAATTGATAAAAGTTGTTTTGTTTTTTAATTTAATTTTAGCTTAGCTCACTGGGCTAGCTAAAATTGGTCATTGTAGTCCTGAACACATTGTAGCCATTTTCTATCAATGTCTCATTTTACACTTTCCTTTGAACATCTTTTTAAATCATTTTCTTAAAAATTTTTTTTTATTGATTTTTAGAGAGAGAGGAAAGGAGAGACATAGAAAGATAGAAATAGCAATGAGGGATGGAGTCTGCAACCCGGGCGAACCAGTGAACTCTTGGTTCATGGGTTGATACTCAACCACTACCCCACAATCCTTTTCTTTTCACTCAGCTTCCCTCTTCCTTAACCAAATTGTGTTTGCTCAGATTAAACTCCTTTAATATATGAAGACATGATCAATTCCTAGAGGCAGTTATATCTTAAAAGAAAACCATTTCCTAATCTAATCTCCAATTGGCCCAATTTCAGGCAATTTAACAATCTCACTGGATTACAGGTGTTTCTCATATTGCATATAAAATATAGGTAATAGTCTGCTACAGTGGTTCTTCAAACTTGTGAAGCTATGCAACTCCTGCTTTAAACAAAACCAGACAGCAGTCCAGTGGATAGAGGAGATTCAGATTAAAGTACTTTGATGGAAGCAGAGATAGGAATCCAGAACCTTCCCCACTTCTTTCCCCAGCCCTTGCTGTACAGTGCCTTTCTCCCCACCCCCCCAGCCCCCACCTCCCAACAATAACCCTGGTAAAAGGCCAGCCTGTGCTCTCACATCAATGCACACACCACGTGAAAGAATGGGTGGGTGATGTATAAATAGGCAACTTTCCAGCAGTCTAAAGGAGATTTTAGATGCCTACTGCAATAATAAATCACAATTTTTTTTTATCACTCTGAGAATGTAGTGGAAGGAGAAGTGAACAGAATAATCAACTTAGATTTTGCCTATTATTCTCTATTTTTACCTTATGTTCGCAGGTTTGGTGTATTACAGTGTTTGTTGTGTTATAAGATAAATATGGACAACTAAGTGTATTCCTGAGGTCAGTGATACTATTACTAGCTCCTTTAATATGAATGCTTTTCTGCTAATTTGGGTTTTCCCTTATTGTTACTTTGAATTTAATCCAGCCACCAAGACAATTGCTTTCTCCTTTGAAACAAAACTTCCAGTGGTGTTTTCCCACCGGTAAAGATTTTGAAGATGGCCTCCAGAAAGACCACCCAGATCCAGTTTTTTTGTTGTTGTTTGTTTGTTTGTTTGTTTTTACAGTTCTCAACCTGTAGGCACCTCTAACCCACCAATTTCCAAATCAAACTCTTTTACCTTCACCCCAAACCTGTCCCTCTTTTTGGTTCTGCCAATGATACATTCACAAAACTAAAACTTTAAATGCTCCATGAAAACAGCACCATTAAATTACAGGGTCTCTAATATGGGCATATCTGTCAATCAGAATGTTTTAACTTCAGCACTATTGATGTTTGAGGCAGGATGATTCTCTGTTGTGGGGCTGCCCTATGCATTGTATGTGTTTCATAGCATTCCTAGCAGTCTCCTTTGGGCTGCTGGAAAGTTACCTACTTATACACCACCCACCCATTCTCTCATGTGGTGTGTGCACGGGCTGGCTTTTTACCAGGGTTGTTGTTGGTTGGAAGGGGGCACTATACAGCAATGGCTGGGAAAGAAGTAGGGTGAGTGGGGAAATGGGGTGTGTAGGATTGGAAGTAGCCTGACCTTCAATCCTTTCTAGGCTTCAGGATAGAAAATGCTTCCAGGCATTCTTAAATGTAAATTTATTTTGGAGACAAAATAAACTCTATTGGAGAACCACTAATGTGGATTGTGTCTTTATTCCTCACAATACCCAACAACTTGTAACTTCATTTCACAGTATAGAGATGTGGAAACTTTATTTTCATGTATAGAGATGTGGAAACTGTGTCTCTGAGAAATTAAGAGACAACCTTGGTCATGTGTCTAGGATGTGGCAAAGCTGGGTCAAAGTACTGTATAAATTGTCTTTCCTTCCCTCTGGGCCTCTGTTGCTCAGTTTTTCTTTGCATCTATTTTTTTTCTTCTTCTTTTCTTTTTTTTTTTTTAATTTATTTAATTGTGTTAATTTTTCACTGGAAATGTTTTGATTTTGCTCCCTATTTTCTATTTCCCTTAGCTCAAACCTGTATTTTTATTACTTAGATTATAATAACTGGGGTCTTTATCTCCCAAATTTCAGTTTTATTTTTATTCTCCCTTTTACATTGCTAGCAGATAGATGTTACTACATAACTGCCCTATTGAAAACCTTCCCTGTCTTCCACATTGCCTATAGCAGTTATCTTTTTTAAAAATATATTTTATTGATTTTTCACAGAGAAGAATAGAGAGGGATAGAGAGTTAGAAATATCGATGAGAGAGAATCATCGATCCGCTGCCTCTTGCACACCCCTTACTGGGGATGTGCCCGCATCCAAGGTACATGCCCTTGACCAGAATCGAATCCCGGACCTTTCAGTCTGCAGGCTGATGCTCTATCCACTGAGCCAAACTGGCTCCGGCAGCAGTTATCTTAAAGCAGTGGTTCTCAACCTTTCTAATGCTATGACCCTTTAATATAGTTCCTCATGTTGTGGTGACCTCCAACCATAAAATTATTTTCGTTGCTACGTCATAACTGTAATTTTGCTTCAGTTTTGAATTGTAATGTAAATATCTGTGTTTTCCGATGGTCTTAAGTGACCCTGGCACCAGCAGCATCTCCTGAAATCTTGTTAAAAATGCAAATCTTTGGGCCTCATCCCAAACCTATTGAATCAATAACTCAAGGGTTAGCTCCCAGAAGTCTGTTATAACACACCCTCCAGGAGGTTCTGATGCTTGTAAAAGTTTGAGATCCCCTGGTTTACTTGATGGAGCTCTAAAGCCTTAGGTGCCATGGAAACCTTTGACTCCCTCCCTTCCAGCCCTCCTAATCCCTCCATCCTGACCCCTGTTCCTTGTCACTGCCTTCTCTACTCCAGTCCTACCATGCATTTACCCTTCCTGGGCTTCAATTCCATTCTTTCACCAGCTATCAAACGCGTTTCTATTCTTAGCGCCATAATAAAAGGAGACAACCCAGCTCCTGAATGGCTTGCAGGCTGGGCTGGGGTGCCCAGCCACACTTCCTCACCTGGAGTTAGATATGCACCTTGCCATTTTAAGCCACGAGCCTCTGCCATTGTGTCTCCTTCCTGGTGAACTTCTACGTCTTTCATGGCTCTTCTCAAACGTCCCTTTTTCTTGTATTACTCAGGCTAACCACCAGTGTCCTTGAGCACTCGCTAGCTTCCCCACATCCTGCTGTTATTTCACTTGTCCCCTGGTGGCATTTTCCCTGTTTGCCTGTCCCCTAGAATGCAGGTTATGAGAGGGAAGAGCCTCCTCTCATCTGTGTATAGCCAGCTTTATGACCCGCAGTGAGCAATCCAGCCACATCAGACGTCTCTGAGAGCTTAATAAAAATGCCTCAATGCCTACAGATGCAGAATCTTGCAAATCCATATTTAAAAAAAAAAATCCCCACACCGTAGTTGAATCACTGCACAATGTCTTGTACAGAGCAGGCTGCTAGTCAACATTTATTGAAATGCTTAATCAATTACTTAGCAAGGTTGCCTGGCGTATCATCTCTGCCTAGCCCTCAGCTTGCTTCTCCAGTTATGTGTTTTCTCTGCTTTTGATTTCAGTTTCCATTTCCTTTAACTCCAGAGTACTTGCACAGCAACCAAAGGGCAGTCACCACCGATACAGGAACACCGTTGCTTAGATGATTGTAAACGTTGGCCAAATCTCTGGCATCTAAAGGTCGGTCGGTAGTCTCAGATACCCAGCAGTAGCCTCAAATTAGGGTTACCTCTCAGGATTGTAGCCACCTTGCGGCTACTCACTCACAGGTGTCTGTAGCTGGTCATAAAAGAGTTACCTTTATCATCCCCTCAGCGTGGTGGTGAAACTTTAACAGACTCACCCGTGGCATCCAAGTCAGCCCAACTCAGCAGCCTGGCGGGCGAGGCCAGAGCTATTACCTGCGATAAGGTCTGGGGTGCCAGACTGGAGGGAGCACGAAAGGGGAAGGAAATCCCCCGGGGGCGGGCGCAGTTTGCAGCTGGTGGTAAGAAATCGAAACTCAGCTGTTAAAACCGCTGCCTTCTGCGCTTTGGAATCGCATCTCGAGACTCGCTCAGCCTCCGGCTCGCAGCCCCCCAGCAGCGGCGGCCCATGTACACCCGCAGCAAGGTGCTGGGCGCCCCCGCCGCCCCCCACCCGGCCCGGGGCCCCTCTGTGAGGCGGCGGGAGCCAGACCCGCTGCCAGGCCAGCGGCAGGTTTGGGAGGCCACTCCGGAGACCCCTTCGCGGGAAGGACCTGGGCATGAGGGCCAGAGGCTGTAAGTATTTCACAACACCTCTTGGAGGGGCGAGGGGGACAGGAGCCTAGACCCCAAACTTACCCACCCACCGCAGACACCTTCGTCAGTACAGTGCGAAACCGCAAGGGCCCAATAACAGGGTCTTTAAGGGAAAGAAAGTTCATTTGCCTAAAGTTTTAAACGAAGGCACATCTAAGTGGAATGTGTGGGCCTGCGGTTCTTGGTTCTTTGCATATTTATCTGAGCCCCTTGTCCTCTCAAGACCAACCATCTCCTGATGCTGGTGACTGGCTGTTAGGATTGAAATACACACGTGGGTGTGGAACAACTGCGTTGGCTTCTTACTAATTTTCTAGGTATCTTCAGAACGTATACTCGTTAGGGAAAAAAAATGTCTTACTGTCTCGGACATTGGTGCCCTAAATGCTATCTCACATCAGCTGCAAGATCAGGGGGAAGAGGGCCTGCGCTCTGGGGTTGCTCCAAATGCTGCCTCCCAACAAAATCGCCCATCAAGGAGCCAGGTAGGACCAGAGGAATTTCGTTGACAGAAATTCGCTGCCGTTTCCTGCCCCTGACATTGATAAGTGCTCTTCCTATTTACTCTTGATCTTTGGTCCAGGGACTACAGTTGGTATCCTGGAAACATTTGTTATGCAAAGTGTCAGCGGGGTTCTCTCTTTCTGCCCAGTAACATGAGCTTCTGTAACTCAAAGGCATGATTTGTAAAGACATTATTGCTTTTGAAGTGCTGCCTCTGTGAATTGGAACTGTCCAAATGGCTTCATTCCTAGTTCCCTCTTTTCATCAACTTCCAGTCACATGAAAGACAAATGTTCGTTGCTAAGGAACAATATATAACCTTATGACCAATAAGCAGATTTTCTTTCATCCCTTAACTTTAGGGAGAATTCATAAGTACCAGGCTTTTAATATTATTCAGTTCAGGGTTAACCTTAGTTGAAGTAGATGAACTAGATGGTTTGAATGCAAGATTGCTGCACTTTTCTTCTCCTCAAATAGAAGCTCATTAGTTTCAAGTAACCTATATCTCCATAAACTGTAGCATTTAATGTATCAGAGGTCATGGACATTTAGTTTCAGGTTGATGATAAACATCCTCTACATGCTTCATTTTCTATTAAAAATCATCTACTTAGGTATAGTCATTTGCTTGTAAATTCATATAATCTTATAAACATTAGCAGCTGCATCTGTTTTCTTATTTGATGTGAACTGCCCTAGAATCTTACTGATCAACTTGCTCAAAAACGGGTAGTTCTTCACTGCATACTATTTTGTGACTTCTAGGGTTTTCCAATAGACCATTAGAGAGTACATAGGAAAGTTCAGTTATATTTCACGGAACACTCTTATTTATTTACTTTCATGTGAACCAGTCACATGGCTTATTTAAAAGACATATTCCCTTTTAGGTGTTTAGCATCAAGATTCCTTTGGACCATTCTAAATTCCTCTTATATCTGCAATAGACACTAATAGCTAATTAGAGGCCCAGTACATGAAAATTCATGCTGAGGGTCCCTCAGCCTAGCCTGCACCCTCTCATAGTCTGGGAGTCCTCAGGTGCCTGAGGCATCCTGATGATCAGGGGAAGGCAATGCCTCCATCACCCCATCTGCATGCAGCACAAACCTCAGCTGGCCTTGGTTACCTGAGCCTTGGGTGGCCCTGGGTGGCAGGACAGCCGCCATCGGTGGCTTGCCTGTGCATTGGGCCAGCCCTGTGTCGCTGAGCAGCTTGCCTGCACCTTGGGCTGGCCCTAGGCAGCTGGGCATTCACTGCCTGAGGCTTGCCTGTGCCTTGGTCCGGCCTTGGGCAGCTGGGGGCTGAGGGGATTGGGGGACTCTGGAGGCAGGCACATGGAGCAGCCAAATCCACCTGGGGACGGGCCCAGTTTTGCCACGTGCCTGCTGCCCCAGCAGAGCTGAGGGGACTGGGCACCACCATCTTGTGGCTGTGGGCATTGACATATTTGAGGGCGTGGCAGTCAATTAGCATATTATCTCCTTATTGGCTGTGGGTGCCACCATCTTTGTGAGGGTGTGATGGTCAATTAGTATATTCCTTCTTTATTATACAGGATGTTTTTTCTCACTTGTTTCCTTTAATGGAAGTGGAAAATCAAGGAAATGGCTGAATGGAAAATAGCATTTTAGTAAGAACAACAACAAAAACCTATTATTTATTTATTTTGCTTTTTGAGATAAATTTCTATTTTGTGATAGAAAATTAAGAAAAAGGAAGGATAAAATTAAGTGCTTAATAATGAGGCTTACGGTAATTTGTTCACATCAATATGAGCTTAATTATATGACCTGGGATTTGACCTTGTTTTGTGTACATCTTTTCACGGATTCATCAGGAAAGCCTCAGTATGGGCACAGCAGCACCAGCTTCGATGCCAGGCCAACAATGGTTCCAATCAGATTGTGCCACTACTTGCTCTCTGCACTTCAGCGTGGTGCTTAGCTACTTCATGCTTCCATTTGTCACTACTTACAATGAGTTAATGCCAACCACTCAGAGTTTCTTTTTTTTTTTTATTATGTGTATGCATGTTTGTGTGTATGCTGGAGATTTGCTGGATATTTGAAATATTTTACTGGATATTTATTTGCTTTGTATATTTATGTACAAAGCAAATAAATATCCAGTAAAATATTGGGTGCTGATGGCCTTATATTTATTGAACATATGTTTATTGACCGAGTGCTATGCTGTTACCCTGAAATGGAGTGTCTGTGACTTGTAAAAACATACTGATTTAAAGCACCCTCCTACTTACATATAACTATAAATAAATAGATTTTAAGACAGTCTCTTAAAATGATTCCTGAGGACCATTACTAATAGACTCCAAAGCAAGGCTGAGTTCTTGACCGTATTTGGATTTAAACAGTTACAAGTATATTTATTAATTCATATTGGCTTTCTCACTTATTTTTAGTTGGTAATTTTATCTTGTCTTTAAATATCATACGCTATCTACACAGACTTAAAGAGAAAAAAGTCCCCATAAAGTTCTAATCCAAAATAATTTTTTATCCTTCCTTTCAGTAATTTGCTTGTTTGTAAGCATCTTACTCGCTTATTCATAGGTACATAACTATAATACTAAGATATGGGTTTTTCAGGAGGGGATTTTTACCTTGTTTTACCCAATTCTCAGCAATAGGCTCTTGCCTGTGATCATAACATAGGCAGGTACACTTCATTCAGATACTTGAACTATACCTGGAAGTAGCCTTATGATACTGTTTGAAGGAAAGATCTACTGAAAATGAGCCCATAGTTTGGAATTTTACTAAGTAGTTAACTTTAACATATGTGTATACAAGTTCAGTTTACTTTAACTTATTTGTAGCCTGCTTTATAGTGAGAACTGTAGAGAGTTAGAGGTGAGCAGTATTAATTGAAAACACATGTTGTGCTAGTATGTGAAAGTGCATGGCATATATTAACTCCTTCAGTCCTCAGGGCAACCCTATAATAAGAGAGAATTTCTAACTATGGATATTCAATTAAAAAATATAGGGACAAATAACTACTCAGCAAAGGACAGGCCCTAAGAAGCTTACAGTATAACTGCTGGGGCAGACATTTACCAGATAATTACATGAATAATTCTTTATATGTGATATAAAGGAAATCCAGGGTCTGACCTAGGCAGTGGGGCGGGGGGGTCATGGTGCAGTTGTGAGCAGGAGGTGATGTTTCAGAGGCAAATTCACAGGATAGTTTAGGAGTTGTGTGGGCCTTTTTCTTACAAATATGTCATTCCAACAAGAAATAACTGCAATCCAATTCAATCCTGACCCTACCTGCTCAGAGTTAGTACATATGCCATAAGTTAAGGGTTTACTCCCCTAAGTCTGCTCTCCCTCCCCCCCCCCCCCCCCACTTTAGGAGTAAGCCACAAGTGAGGTCCCAAGGCTACCAACATTTCTTCCCAGCTGACTACAAATTTGGGGTTCCCATCACTTTTCTCTACCTCTAGGTTCAATAATTCACTAGAATGAATTATAGAAATCATGGAAACGACTATATTTATGATTACAGTTTTATTATAAAGCATATAACTCAGGAACAGTCAAATGGGAGAGATTCATAGGGCAAATATATGTACAGCTTCTATACCTTCTCTGGGTGGGTCACCATCCTAGCACCTTGTGTGTTCAAGCTCTCAAGCCTCATTTTTCATTCAAGAATTTTTATTCAGGCTCCTCTGCAGCATGATTGATTATATCACTGGGTAGTGTGACTGAGCTCAGTGCCCTAGAGGGGGTGGGGAGCGGACCTGGAAGTTCTAACCCTTAAATCGCATTGTTGGCTTTTCTGGCAAACAGCTCCCATCCTGAAGATATCTAGGGTCCCCCACACTCCAGGAGTCATCTATTTCATTAGCATATAATCCAGGCTTTTGTAACATAAAAAAAATTCAAACATCTAAAGAATTTTTGTGAGTTTATTTGAGCCAATCTGTTGACAATTGCTGGGAAGAAGAACATTGAGATAATGCTCCAAAGAATGACAACTTACATCTATATTTATACATTAGTAGCTTGGTGCACAAAATTTGTGAGGGGGTGGGGTGGGGGGGTGACTCTCAGCCCGGCCTGCACCCTCTCTAATCTGGGACCCCTTGGAAGATGTCTGACTACCTGGAGATGTCCCTGTGGGATCAGCCTAAACCGGCAGTGGGACATCCCTGTTGCAGTCCAGGACCACTGTCTCCTAACTGCTCACCTGCCTGCCTACCTGATTGCCCCTAACCAATTTGCTTGCTGGCCTGCTCACCCCCAACTGCCCCACCACCAGCCTGCTTGCTCCCAGCTGCTCCCCTCCTCCCTGCTGGCCTGATCACCCCCAAATGTCCTCCCCTGCCAGCCTCATGGCCACCAACTGCCTTCCTTGGCCAGGCTCATAGCCCACAACTGCCCTTCTCAGCCAGCCTCATGGCCCTCAACTGCCTTCCCTAGTCAGAGGCCCATCTG